CCCCCCCCCCCCCCCTTTCTCAGCCTTCCCATTCCTCCTTCACCTCCTGTAAGTAACTGAAGTGGGTCTTTCCCAGTCTCTCCTCCTCCAACCACAAGCTAGAGGGGTTTTCGTGGTCAGGTCACTTTGTGTTCCATTAGATGAAGTCTAGCCCAGTGGTACTCTTGACAGCAGGTGTGATGGATCAAAATCAGTTGGACGTGTATTTTAAAATGCAGATTCTACAGGCAAATGCAACCAAACTGGTGATTGGATTCAGAAGTTGGAAATGAAGAGGAAAGATTCGTAGTTGGAAAATATGGCTTTAGTGGTAAAATGATAGAATTTTGCACAACCAGTAACTTAATCATTGCAAATACCATTTTCAGCAACCTGAACAGTGCGGATAAACACTCTATCTACCATAAGACTGGTTTCAACAGTAATGGTGGTGCTTCAAACTCAGTAGCCACGGGGTTGTTATGAGTTGGAACTTATTTGATGGCACTTAACAATAACAACATACACATGGACCATAAAGGAATCAAATCAACTACGTATGTGGAAAAGAGCTCTCATAGCATAGTGGTTACAAGTCAGGCCGGTAATGTCACTTAACTGTCAGCAGTTAGAAACTATTCATGGTTCCGCGGGAGAAAAAGGAGCCTTTCTGCTCTCGTAAAGATTTACAGTCTCAGAAACCCTACACAGGGTTGCTATGAGTTGGAACCGACTCCACAGCATATAACCCCCACCACATCTGTGGAAAAAGACGCTGGAGAAGCTCGATGTCATGAGCCAGAGCAAGGCCACGAGCCATCTTGGAACAGTTCATCCATTGCTCAGATACAAGTTCAAGCTGAGACTGAAGAAAATGAAAACAAGACCATGAGAGCCAAGATAGGACCTTGAGTGTATCCCATCTAAACTTAGAAGTTGTTTCAAGAAGAGATCAGGTATATTGAACACTAATGACCAGAGATCAGAGGAATGGTGTGAAGACATAAGGAACAGCATACTTGAAAAAAGCAAAAGATCATTTAAAAAGACAAGAAAGAAGGGAACAAAGTAGATGTCAAAAGAGATTTTTGAAACTTGTTCTTGAATGTAGAGTAGTTAAAGTCAAGGGGGAAAATGAAGTAAAAGAGCTGAACAGAAAATTGTGAAGGGCAGCTCCAGAAGACAAAAGTATAATGAAATGTGCAAAGACCTGGATCTAGAGAATCAAAGGGAAGAACACACCTGCATTTGCCAAGCTGGAAAAAAAAAAAAAAGTAAGCCTCAACTTGCAATATTGAAAGATTGTGCAGGCAAAGTATTGAATACTGCTGGCAGTATCAGAAGATGAAAGGAATTCTCAGTCACTATACCAAAAAGAACTGGTCAATGCTCAACCATTTCAAGAGATAGCAAATGATGAAGAACTAGAGAAGTCCAAGCAGCACTGAAGCCATTGGTGAAAAGGCTCCAAGAACAGACGGGATACCAATGAAATGTTTAAACAACCATTGCAGCACTGGACATGTGCTCACTCGACTATGCTAAGAAATTGGGAAGACATGCTGCCTGGCCAACTGACTGGAAGAGATCCATATTGGTACTCTGATTCCAAAGTAAGGCGACCCAATAGAATGTAGAAATTTTCAAACAGTATTATTAATATCACAGGCAAGTAAAATTTTGTTGAAGATAATTAAAAAATGATTGTAGCAGTACAAAGTTAGGGAGCTGCCAGATATTCACGCCAGACTCAGAAGAGGACATGGAATAAGGGATGTTATTACTTGCATCAGATAGGTCTTGGCTGAAAGCAGAACACCAGAAAGATGGTTCAGACAGAACAAGAGGATACTAAATGGGTTAAAATGGATTAAAATCAGAAAAAGTGTGTGGTGTATCCTTCACTGTACTTACTCAGTCTTTACGCTGAGTAAATAATCCAAGAAACAAGACTATATGAAGAACATGATGTTAGAACTGGAGAGAGGCTCCTGACACGCCATGTTTGCTAGAAGCACTGAGGAATTGAAGCGATTCCTGATGAGGATCAAAGCCCACAAGCCTTCAGCATGGATTATATCTCCATATAAAGAAAACAAAAACACGAGATCAGTAAACATGAGCAATGGAAAAAGGCTGAAAGACTCAAAGGTTTCGTTTTACTGGGATCTACAATCAACACCCATGGGAGGAACACTCAAGAAATCCAACAACAAATTACATTGGGCAGATCTGCAACAAAAGACCAGTTTAAAATGTCCAAGACAAAGATGTCACTTTGAAGACTAAGGGGTGTCTGACTCCAGCCGAGGTGTTTTTCAGTCACCTTATATGCATGCGAAAGCTGAGCATGCATGGGAAGGAGGAGGGCAGCCTTAGAAGCAGGCAGTGTCTCATTCTATTATATATTGTGTCACTGTGAGTTGGAACTGACTCGGTGGCACCTAACCAACAATAACAAAAGGCAGATCTACAGAGGCAGTGGATTAGTGTGTGTCTAGGGCCGGGACAAGCTTTATTTAGGGAATGATGAAAATGTTCTCTGGTCATAATGATGCATGTGCATTTTAAACAAACGAAACCTCAATAGAGCTGTTTAAGAAAAGTAAGAAACAGTGCTGTGTGCACTGGTGTGGCACTGCAGGATAATGCACTGGGCTGCAAAGTCTATATGAACCACAAGGTCGGCAGTTCAAACCCACCAGCCGCTCCTTGGAAACCCTAGACTGGGTCGCTATTAGTCAGAACCGACTTGATGGCACTTAACGACAACAGGATAGGCACAGGACCACTAACTGCAAGGTCAGCATTCAAACCCACCAGCTGCTCAAGGGAAACCTATGTAGGGTCACTCTGAGTTGGAACTGACTTGTCAGCATTTAAGACCAACATCACTAACTACTGAATCAAAATCTCCAAGGGTAGGGGACTGGGGCGTTGTGAAGTGAATGCTCTGTGTGTTAAAGCAATGTCAGGATGGAGAGCCACCTGGCCCAGAACCTGTTTCTGGAACTGCAGCCATGCACTCTTCCCTGCAGGGGGCGCAAGCTCACTTCTCACTGACTGCAGGCAGCCGCATAGAACAAATCCTACCCCTCCGTGGGTCAGCCCTTCCCCCGATGGAAAGCAGTGCCTGTGTTCTACAGTTCTGGAGGATTACGTTTACTGTGGGGCTTATCTGTCTACCCTGTTGCCTCTTGCCACCCCATCCCCACCCCACCAGTCAGCTGTGTCTGCGTGAACTATTCCAGGCCACTTTCCCAGGTTCATGGTTGGCTCTTGCCATATGTGGGGCCAGATTTTTTATTTAGGGGTTGTTTCTTGGATCATGGTGTTTAATAGTCTTCAGGGACATCAGTTATGTGAACGCTGGATTTTCTTTGTGTATTTTCTGTATCTACTATCATGGTTGTAACCTTTCTGCGTTTTCTTTGATCTGTTTCATTTCTCCACAATGACTCTTCTCATGCTTCTGTCTAAACCTTCCTCATTGGTCTCTTTGTAATTGATTCTCTATTTCTAAGATGATCTTGTCTTTTTCATCCACTCTCCTATTGACCAGACTGCTTTTTCTTCCACTTCTTTTCTGAGTTTTAAGTTTCTGCTCGGTGGTGATCTTCATCAGCCATTGGTTTAAGACAGTCTTGTCCAATATGGAGAATGTTCTAGTTCTCCTCTGTGTCGTGATTGGGTTAGGGAAGGATAGTGTTTTTCCCAGGGGTCAAAGTTTGCTTATTGCCATCTGGGTCCTTGTGTTGTTGTTGTTGTTAAGTGCCATGAAGTCGGTTCCAACTCATCGCCGCCTTGTATAGGGTTTCCAAGGAGCGGCTGATGAGTTTGAACCACCGACCTTGTGCTTCAGACTGATCTTGTGGTCCAGTGTTTTATCCCACACTGCCACACCTTGTTGTAGCTTTTGATCACCTTTTACTGTTCGTTTTCAAGTGTACTGGATTTTTCTAACCAGGTGGTGGTGTGCTGTAGAGTCAGTTCTGACTCATAGCGACCCTGTATAGGGTTTCTGAGGCTGTAAATCTTTACGGGAGGATAAAGCCTCATCTTTCTCCCGCAGAACAGTTGGTAGTTTTGAACTGCTCACCTTGAGGTTAGCAGCCTGACTCTTAACCACTATGCTACCCGAGCTCCTTTTTCTAACCAAGTAGTAAGTAGCAGATGACTCTGTGGAAGGGTGAGGAACTCTTCCATTTCTTAGGTCATGAGGAACAATGAAATGTCATTTACTGATGGTGCCTTTCTGAGGTGCTGGTGCTCAGCGTGGTCTCTGATCTGTGACTTCTGGTTTGCAAAGGGTCACAAGCTTGTGGTCTCTGCTTCTTTCTCCCAAACTCCAGGACTCATCCCCTGTTCCCCAGAAACAGCTGTTCCCCGAGACTGCTGTCGCTCACCCCCAGGTCCCAGGCTCTCCTCAGTGTGGCCCACACAGGGCGAAGCCTTCCTCTTCCCAGAGTGAACCTTCGTGTTTGTATCAGCTGCTGCCCTCCCCTTTGTCCAGTCCCCACCTGCTGTCTGCCTCTGTGTGCATTGGCGTGTGTGGATGGTACTCCTCTCCCCCTGTGCTGTGGACCTAGGGGATGTGTGCACCTGGGGGATGGGCCTCAGCCTCCCGTCCTTGTTGGAGGTGTGTGGTATGAGGCCGGCTGCAGCAGCCACCGTTGTCCTCAGAGCTGTGTCTGAGTCCCACACAGCTCCCTGCTGAAAGCTGGCTATCCTGGGGTTGGTTCTCTCGTCTGTCCATGGTTCAGACCCACCCCGTTTTGGGTCATCAGCAAACTTGATGCTTCTAGTGAGTCACTGAGAGACACCAATGGAAGAAACATTGATTCTCAGGTATTTTGAATATTGATCCAGCTTTCAGTGAGGAGCAGAAGCTGGGCTTTGGAAAGCTATTGCCCACAGATAATGCGGGTTTCAATGAAAATGTCAGTCCAGGACAACCAGGGTCTGGGCAGTGTGCCTGTAGGGACAGTGCCAGCCTGCGGAATGACTGCTGGAAACTCGGGACCGCTGTCCCAGCACTCTGGACAGCTCCTGAACTTCACTGTGACAACCAAGTGCTGGGATCCTCCCTCCTCCACACCATGGGGATGCGGGAAGCTCCTTGCAGCTTTAAGAAAGCCCTTGTGGTCAGAAGAGCTCTCTGGATGTCATTAGCTGCTTCGGAAAACACCCGACCTCTGACCTCGGCCCCTCCCCCGGCTTGCACAAAGCTTTTAGATTTCCATTGGGCATCCACCACACGCAAGGCTGCCAGCCTGGCACCCTCCCCTTCCTCCTTTTCCAACTTTGTTGTCACTCGTGCCTGCCTTTTCAAGGTCTGTGATGTCCTCATCAAGCCAGCGTGTCATTCCTCACTACTGTCAGTGCTACAGCCTCCCCTGCCCCCCAGTCCTAATGCTTGTCCTTCTCATGCGATTTCTGAATGTGTTTCCTTGCATTCTATCTTCTTTGAGCCCAGATGCTCTGGGAAAGGTGGAGCCGGCCAGGGCAGGGTGGGGTGGGGAGGGTGGGCAGCTCTAACTTACAAGGCGGAGTCCTGAGGAGGGCATGGGGCAGGCTGGAGTGAGGCTGGCACCTGCTGCGAGCCCCTGGTGTAGATGAGAGACCTCGGTGAAGCTGCACCAACAGCCAGGCGGGTTAGCTCCATTGTTTCTGCCTCTCATCTTGTCCCTCAAGGGGAACCTGAGAAAGGAGCTGGGGGTTGGAGGGGGGTGCAGAGCCGAGAAGAGAACAGGCGGCTGGATGGGGCCCCACAGTGGCATCGTGGTGACCTGCACTGCCTGCCCTGACAGGTGGTGTACGAGGAGTGCCGCATGGTCAGCCTGGAGGCCCCCTACGTGTCTGGCTTCCTGGCCTTCCGAGAGGTGTCCTTCCTGGAAGAGGCCGTGCAGCGGCTGCGGGAGAAGGAGCCTGGTCTGGTGCCTCAGGCAGGTGCCCCTGCGTCTGGACAAGCCGGGGAGCAGGGGGAGACCAGGACACGGCACATGTGTTTGGGGCAGTGGCTGAGTTACGGATGCCTGGGCCCCTTCCTGCCCACTGCTCCCGGGATAGCCCAAGCCGGAGGGACAGTGTCACTGACAGACTCTCCCGGTGGCTCTTCTAGGTTCTTCTTGTGGATGGAAATGGGGTGCTCCACCACCAAGGTAAGCCTGCCCCCAAAAGAGCGGGAACGAGAGATTGGGGGAAGGTGCCATGGTCGGGGGGTGGGGAGGCAGAGGTGGGACCGGTGTGGAAATGGCGTGGAAGGGTTTCTGGTTCCACAAGGAGGAAGGAGAACCAATCTCAGCATCAACTCCATGCTGTTTCCTAGGAGATAGAGGTTAGATGGGCCTCCCCCCTTCTGCCTTCTGTACCAACTCTGACAGCAGCCACCCCTCCCACAGCACGGCACTTCTCTGTGGACAGAGTTCAATGATGCATTGCATCGGCCACACGGAACTCACACAGCCGACTCCTGGTTGTGGGCTTCATTCAGGGTTAGGGACATAGGACACATCTCTTCAGACCATCCAGCCAGACACACCATGTGGCCCACCGCCTCTGCCGTGCTTGGTCAAGCCTAGCTCTGCTGAGGAGGCACAGACTCTGCAAGAAGCCTTCTGTCTAAAGGCTCGCACCTTTCTCGGGGGTCAGGAAGCACACTGCTTCCCTGGTGTTCCAGCTCCGCCTCCTGGATCCAGAAGGTTCAGCACACAGGTCCAAAAGACATGAGAGCCCCCGCTTCTGCTTCTGAGATGGTTCATTTTAAGTCCAGCAGGCTGGCAAAAGTGACCATTCTCCAAGATAGAGTCCCATACACCCCATTTGCATGGTCCTTTTTACGTTATTAGCTATCTAATCCGCTCGGTGGGCCACAGACACCTCACATTTTCATAGTGGCACTGTGGGATAATCCACCAGACTGCAAAGCCATTTGAACTGCAAGGGCAGAGGTTCAGGCTCACCAGCTGCTCCTTGGAAACCCTATACAGGGTCATTATGGGTGGGAACCTACTCGACGGCACTTAACAACAGCAAGCCAGTCACTGAGAGCCCTGACGTGGTGCTGTGGGTTAATGCACTGGACTGTAAGGCCAGTTTGAACCACAAGGTCAGCGATTCAAGTTCACCAGCCACTCCTCGGAAGCCCTGTACAAGGTCACCATGAGTCGGAACCGACTTGACGGCACTTGATAACAACAGCCCAGTCATTGGGACTTCTGGTGCGGTGCTGTAGGATCATCACTGGACTGCGAACCACGGGGTTGGCAGTTCAAACCCACCAGTTGCTCCTAGGAAACCCTATACAGGGCCACTAGGAGTTGGCACTGACTCGACATTTCCCAACAGCAGCAGTCTAGTCGTTTGGAATTGCAAAGCCGATGACTAGACCCATATCAAGTGATTGACGGCACTGCAGCCAGGAAGGGGGCCACTGGGAGGGAGAGACCACCTACCTCACCGAACCCCCGTGGCTCTGCTGGGCCTCTGTTGCAGCTGTGGTGGGCCCACATCTCTGTCCTGGGCTTGGCTCTAGTGTCAGGACACCAGGGTTCTGCTCGGCCGTCTGTCCCCTCCCCCAACAGACACACAGCCCTGAATGTTCCAAGACATCACCAAGTCGCATTTCCCGGCTAGGCGTAGCCAGTTGTTCCATCAGCTCCCTGGCCCATGTGTGGCCTTGTCAGACTCCACCCAGACAGAGGGCCCAGCCAGTCATCCCTGCTGAGTGGGGGACTGAACTCTCCTAAGTGGGCTAAACTATGACCCTGGAGAAAGGAGAGGGGGTGGGCTATGCTGCCCACAGATTACAAGCCTAGGGGCACTCTCTGAGCAGGTCTGGGGGAGGCAAGAGTTGGGGGATTTGTGTGCAGCAGAGGTCGGGGGCCTAGGCCCATCCCCGAGCTTCTGAGTCCAGAGAGAAAGGGCGGACACAGGTTGACGTGGGCATAGATCCATCAGGCTGAGTCTCAGAACCGCCCTCCTCAGCGCAGCCCAGCACAGTACTGCATATAACCCAGGCACCTGGCAGAGGCCCAGAGGCACGAGGGTGCCAGAGCCTCCGTTGCCTCCTGGTTCAGCAATCTGGCATCCTCGGACAACTCGGGAATTCTGGCTTGCCCCTGTCCTGTGTACCTGGACTGCCCAGCCTCACCCCTCCATCCTCCTTTCTGTCCCTGCAGGCTTTGGGATAGCCTGCCACCTGGGTGTCCTCACAGACCTGCCCTGTGTTGGGGTGGCCAAGAAGCTCCTGCATGTGGACGGGCTAGAGAAGAGTGGCCGGCACAAGGAGAAGGTGAGGGACATCCCCCTGCCTTCTCCACCCCTAACCCTTGGGCTGGAGAAATAAGGCAGTGCTTGCCTTGAAGCTGTGGCCCCCCACTCCTTAGACTCCTGAAATGTCCTGAATGTGTGACAGGGCACACTGGCCTGTCCAGCCCTGTCACCCACACAGGGTAAGGCCTCTGATTATGGGGTCAGCACAGGCTTCCAGGCGGTCCGGAGCATGTGCGCCAACGTCCAATGCTTTCTCTCCTTGGGCCACCTGCGAGCTTTGCTACTGCCCCAATCCTGTCCTCGCCTCCCCGCTCCCACTCCAGAAATTACAAACTGAGGACCTGGACCATCTTATCTGGGCTCTCCAGGATCTATATCAAGCAGTTGCTCAGTAAACGCGTTGAATTGAATCCAAACCAACCAAACCAGTTGGATGGAGTCAAGTCATGGCGCCCCCACGTGCGTCTGTGGGGTTTCCCACGTACTTCACTCAGCCTCTGGAGTAGCACCCCCCACCCCCTGAGGCTGCACACTGAGTCAGGGGCAGGGAGGCAGCAGCTCGGTGCTGGGGGTGACCCTCAGGCTAGTGGGCACCCTGCCTGGACCCAGTTTCCTCACCTGTGGAATGGGAGAGGGCAAGTGAGCCCAGAGGTGTCCTGAGGGGTGGGTGGGCCCAGCTCAGCTCAGCTTGTGGTGCCCAGAGACGCCTCCCCCTGACCACGTCCCACCCAGAAAAGACGTTAATTCAAATTGTGTTTCTCACCTTCCAGATAAAACTCCTGCAGACTGGAGGAGACACGTTTCCTCTGGTGGGGGATTCGGGGACCGTCCTGGGAATGGTGAGTGGCCAGGGTTCATGCCCATAAGGTCCCCAGGTCAGAGTGCCACAAAGAGGTCATGAGGGGACACTGGGCCCAGGGGGACAGAGGGCACCTTCATACACACACACACATACCCCCTGTGCACGTGCATTTATATGTATGTGAACATGCACACACATGCTCACACCCACATGTACATGCTCACATGTACACACATGTACACAGGGTCCCAGGAAGGCGGCTCCGGGGACCCTCCATGCTCACTTGCCACCAAGTCTGTTGACAAGCCCCTGTAGCCATATGGCTGAGCCCTAACCGTGCTCCCCTTGACCCAGGCCCTGAAGAGCAACGACCGCAGCACCAATCCCCTCTACGTCTCCGTGGGCCACAAGGTCAGCTTGGAGACCGCTGTGCGCCTGACACGAGCCTGCTGCAGGTTCCGGAGCCCAGAGCCCGTGCGCCAGGTGAGAGGGTCCGGGGGCGTGGCTGGACAATCCCTCACCCCTGGAGCCCCCTCTCAGATCTCCCCATCCTGTTAGCACAGCCACTGGGGTGGGGATCATGGGATCCCTGCTTAGGCCTGGTCTTTGGAGACAGCAATGACGGCAGCTCCATGCCCGCCACCAACACCCCACCATCCTCAACCGGGTACACACATCGGGATATTCCGGTGCACAGGCCAAGTTTAGTGTGCCAGGCCTGAGAGACACCTGGGCCGCTTTCATGGACCTGACCAGGAGGAGGGGCACTGTACTCCTGGGGGAGGCGGGGAGGAGAGGGGCCTGGACAGGAGGAATCAGGGAGTGGGGGCAGAATTCCCGATTTGGTGCAGTAAAGAGACTTCGCTTTGCCTCTGGAAGTGCTCATGTAGTGGCTGGGGGTTGTCATGCTGTCTGGACTCGGGGCCCCACCTGTGCACCCTTTTCTCCAGGCCTCCTAGCTTTGCACTCACTTTTCTGAGGCCACACCTGCCTCTTTGTGTCAGCATCAGCCTGGTCACCAGGCAAGGAGCTCAGGTTGGACCTAACAGTTCCTCCTACCCTGTGGCCTGACTGTTGGTGCACAAAGCGGCCACCAGGGGGCAGGCGCCACCCACAAATCCCCCTGTATCCCCTCAGGAAGACCTCCCAGAGCCAACATCGCCAGCTAGGGAGTGGCCTAGGTCTGGTCAGCCACCCCCACCTTCCTCTGTTCCTGCCCACCACCTGACTCTCCCTCATGGCAGCTTGTAATGTGTCCCCAGCCTGGGAGGCCATTCCTCTCCAACTCCAGCCTCCATATGACTCGAGAAAGATCCTAGGATGTCCCCGAAACACCCACATTGCCAGACTCGCTGGGCACAGCATGCCTCTTCCCTCTCTCTGCCCAACGTGGCAGATGGGAGCTGCCCTGTTGAGCCCCTAGATACTTAAAATGGGGCAAAAACCACATGACCTGCTTCAGGGAAGTGCTGACCACATGCCTGGCCCCCACAAAAGCCACAGTCTTGTGTATGGGTGCACACCCCTCGCCCAGGCCAGTCCAGTGGTCCATGTTCTCTCTCGGCCCATTCTCCTCCTGGGCCCACTCTGTCCAGCCTGCCAGTGTGACTGCTTCCTGGCGAAGGTGAGAGAGGAATGTGTGTCTGTGCCTGCATCTCTGGTGCCCACCAGTCCCCCTCCTGCTCAGCCCACATGTCCCTGGGGTTGGTGCCCACCAGTCCCCCTCCTGCTCAGCCCACATGTCCCTGGGGTACGGCCTCCCTGGTGCCAAGTCTGGTCCTACTACCAGGCCAGGTGGCAGAAAGGCATGGTGGCGGGGGTGGTGCCCAGGATACCCCATGGCCGCCTCCTTTTCACCTGGAGCGGAAGTAGCGGAGGTATTAGCTGTTGTCCACTTAATCACACACCCCAAACTGGGCTAAGCCCTTCTGAGCTGGAACTGGGGACTCTGGAGGCCTGGTGGCCAGTCCTGGGGAGTGCTGTGGGGGTCCTGTTTATTGCCTAGCTCCTGCATGCTTACTCCCACCCCCGAGGCTCACACTGGTTCATTCTTGTGGCTTGGCAGAATTTTTTGGAGACGCTTCCTTGGGGACAGGGTTCATGGCTGCTGCTAGATGGCGGGGGGGTAGGGGGTGCTGAGGAGACCCATCTAAGAGATTTGTCAAGTCACCCAGAAAACTGATCGGGGAAGGGGTCTGGGACTGAGCCCATCGCTTGCTGTCTGAAGCTGCCACTTTGGACTGTGGGCCTGTGACCCTCGCTGGTGGGGGTGGCGTGGGGTGGGGAGGGATCCCAGCCCCTCCCTCTGTTCTCACTGCACCTACTCCCTCTCCCAGGCTGACATCCGCTCCCGTGAGTACATCCGCAGGACCCATGGGCCCCCTGGGCCCCCCACTGTGGGGCAAGAGAGGTGAGCCGAGGGCTGGACGCCGAGTCCGCTGTGAGAGCCTCAGTCCCGCATTCCCGTCTCCCTCGGCCCATTTACCCTGAAGGACGGGCCCTGTCCCTGTGGACGTGCCTCTCACACTCCTCAGTGGATGGGACACTTGTCCCAGGACCTTTGTGAGGTGGGCACACGCGCCACAGCTGACGGGCAGGAGCTCCATGCACAGGGCACCGTGGCGACTGTTTCACACAGATTACTGAGTCCAGACAACAGCCTTGCCGTGGGATCGAAACCCCATCCCGTTTTACAGATGAGGAGGCTGAGGCAGTGTAGCCCAGCTCCAGGGCCAGTGGCAGGGCAGGCGGTCTGCTGACACTCCTGGAGTGAGGACGGTGCTGCCCCCAGAGCACTCTCAGCCCCCTGACCTCTGGGCCTGCCCCATCAGTGGCCTCTAGAGCCATCAACTTAAGACCACCCTTTTCTTGATTTTGTTCCAGGATTCAGAAGGTGCGGAGGTCTAAGGGCAAGGGCAAGCCCCCCGAGTACCTCGGCCCACTTCCTGGGGCACATCTGGACACTCCAACCCAGGGCCCCAGGGACAGTGAGGCATGGGCTGGTGGCCAAGCAGAGCCAGACACTGTGAAGACCCAGGGGCCTCCTGAGCTGGCCTCCGGGAGCAGGGCAGGGCCTAGGGGCACTGGTCTTGGGGACTGTGGGTAGGGTGCCTGACCCCACAGACGGCCCCTCCTCCTCTGGGCACCTGTGGTCCTGTGACCAGGATGCTGCCCTACAGACAGATTCCTCAGGGCAGAGTGCAGTCCAGGAAGTGATACAGCTGCTGCCCCTGGAACATCTGTGCCGGGTGACCAGACCTCCACCCTGGCTGGCCAGCTGTTTCCTGGTCCCCAGCCACTTGCCCATCCCCAGGCTGCTGCTGCTGGGCACTGTCCAGGGCACTACCAGCCTGCAGTGGCAGGGGGCGCTGTCTGGGGGGTGCTGACAGCTTACAGAGGGACCAGTACCCAGGTGTCCTGCTGCCTGGCCTGGGGATGGGGGAACCCACACCCCCATTAGGGCTCCTCTGTGCCTGCCAGCCTTCTCCCCCAAAGCCAGCCAGTGGTCCCTGATGTGGAGTGGGCTGGAAGACGTCCCATGGGGGTGTGGGATAAAGAGCGGCCAATCCAGTCCCCCTGGCTTCATTGGCTGGCCTTGGGCAAAACTCAGACTCAGATTTACAGAACCTTGATTCCTGGTGGGCTGTGTGCGCTCACAAGAGGTCCGGGTTAGGTGAGGTCTTTGGATGCTGAGCAGGTCTGCAAGAGGGAGCTCACACCACCTGAGAAGCTGGCGGCTTGCAGGGGGTCCAGAGGACTAGGCTGTTCTCGCTCCCCCCAGACTCCCACAAGCCTCAGGGCTGCACTTGGACTTCCTGGACCCCAGGCCGCACCTTTCCTTTTCCCTCCACCCAGGCTGGAGAGCTTCCCAGAGTACGGGGAGGCTGGGGGTCAGGTACATGTCACCTGGCACACAGTTCTTGTTAAGTTCCGTCGAGTCGGTGAAGTTGAACTGCCAACCTTGCGGTCCAGCCCGTGATCCCACAGCGTCACACCAGGATTCCGTAGGCACACAGTACATCCCACCTAAGACTGGCTCACAGCAACAGGGGCCCTGCTCGCTCCTCATGGACGGGCAGGAGTGGTCACGACCCCCACGGGGACTCTGCTTTAGTGGCTCATCAGTGACCACAGGGCTCCAAGTGACCTCCTCTGGCTGAGGACGTAACTGCAAGTGGACTGTATTCTGTATTTTTGGGGGAGAGGGGCAGAGGACCCCTATTCCTCATACCCAGGGAGGAGCAGGAAGTAAGCTTGAGACAATCTGTGAGGGGGCTGGGGTTTTCTTGTTTTTAATTAAAATAAAATTCACATAACAAAGTTTTCTCTTTTTACCATTTCAAAATGTACACTTAAGCAGTTTGTGGTTTTTTCACAATGCTGTGTGATTTTAACCACTCATTCCAGAACATTTCATTACCCCCCAAAAAAACTGTATGCCCATTAACAGCTATTCCCTGGCCCCCTGATTCCTAGCCCTGTGCCTTCAGCCTCGGTGACAGTGCCCTTTCTGGACACTTCAGGCCTCGTGTGCCTTCACACCTGAACGTGTTTCCAGGGCTCCTCGTGCGGCAGCAGGAATCATAGCTCCCCTTCATGACTGACTAGTATTTCACCACAGGAGTGAGACCACGTGTTCACCCCTTCGTCTGTTGCCAGGCATTTTGGCGGTTTCTGCTCTTATGGTTATCGTGAATCGTGTTGCAGTAAACATTTGTGTACAACTTTTTGTGTGAACTTGCCTAGGAGTGGAACTACTGGGCAGTGGGCATTGTCTGTGTTGAACTGTTTGAGGGACCATCGAGCCTGTCCCCACCACGACTGCAGCAGTTCACATTTTCATGCCAGCACTTCACAGGGTTCCGGTTTCTGCACACAGCTTACTCCGGGTCTTCGGTCTGAGCCCTCCTACTGGGTGGAAGCGGTTGTCTGCTTGGAGTTTTGATTTGCTTGTTGGCCATTTGTGTATCTTTGGAGGGCGATCTAGTTAAATCTTCTGTCTGGTTTTACATTGGGTTGTTGGTTCTTTGGCCTGTGGGTTTCCAGTTCCAGCACTCTTTATTGAAGGAACTATTCTTTACCCATGGGGTGGTCTTGGCACATTTATCAGAGCTCAGTTGACTACATGCGTGTAGGGTTATTTCTGGACTCTCGGTTCTATTCCATTGGCCTATGTAACTGTTATTCTGGTACCAACTGTTAGGCTTACTTACGTTTTGAAATAAGTGAGTCCTCCAACTTTATAATTTTTTAAGATTGTCTAAGCTATACAAGACAATCCCATATGAATTTTACAATCAACTTGTCCGTCAAAAAAAAAAAAAGGTCACTGGAATTTTAATGGGAGTTGCTTTGAATATGTAGATGAATTTGAGGAGTCTTCCCATCTTAATAACATTAACTTTTCCATTCCATGAACACAGGATGTCTTTCCATTTATTTACATATTTTTAAAAATGTCTTCCAACAACCATCATTGTTCTTAGTGTACAAGTCCAGTACTCCTTTGGTTAAGTTTGTTCCTAAGTGGTTTATTCTGTTTTGTGCTCTTGTAAATGGAATTGTTTTCTTCATTTTCTTTTTAGATGGTTTTGTATATTGGTATTTTATCCGCCATGTTGCCATGAACTCATTTTTTAGCGCTCATAGTTTTAGTGTGGATTCGCTAGGCTTTCCCACATACATATAAGATCATGTCATCTGCAAATAGAGATC